TCACAAATGCCAGTCTTTTTTTTTTCTTTTAAAAAATGCATCATCATGTTCTCCTGGACACATCATCACACACACCAATTTGGAAACCCTTGATTTAAAGCTACTAAATTTTGCCTGCAAAATATGGATGATCACTAGATGGAAACAAGGATTCTTGTGTTACTCTTTGCTGCCATCTGTTGATCATCTGAATTCTTGGAGCCCAGAATTGTTACCCTGATTTACTAGGAGAAGGTGACTGCCAAACATGTGATAGGACTGATTATCAGTTTGTAATGAAAATATTGAGAATAGGTACCCTGCTATTAATCAGATATTTTGAATCATTGTAATTAGTTAACTTAAATTTATCAGCTGCCTAGTTCCAGTAGGCTCTGAACCTTAGAGGGGAGGGAGCATAGAATCAACTGTATATAATACACAGCTCAAATCAAACTATTTAAACCTTCAGATAATATAGTGATTAGGAAAGTCTTTTTAAAAATCAAAATAGCATAGAGTAAGAGGTTAGAGCCCCAGTCGTTAGTGGATTCTGGTACATAGGATATATTTAGATGCACAGGATTTTCTCCTCATTGTTTTTTATTTAATTGTAAGACACCCAGAGTCAATATGTAGTCAGGCACTCTCTAATTCAGGGCTGTCAAACTACCGGCCTGCGGGCCAGATGCATCACATGCTGGCCATGGCCACGCCCAGTTTAGCAAAGGGGGAAAAAGTCCTGATACATCACATGACGCTGCCATGATGACACGAGTTTGACACCCCTGCTCTAATTCAAATAAACAATATATAAATGGAGCCTCATTGCACAAAACTTACAGGAGTCTAGCATATAGGTTCAATAAACTAAAATTGAATAAAACTTAAAGGCTGCTTTAAGCTTAGCAGAGTACAGAAGATACTTGAACCTGGACTGGTGGCAAAACAAACCATCCCTCTGAATGAATTCTGTAGCTGTGGTTAATTTGCAATTATTATCAAACGGCTTCAGTTTAGTGCACAGAGCCTCTGCAGAGGATCAGAAGCTGCTGTTACTGCACGTGTAAAATATTCTAAACTCAGGAGTGCTTATCTCAAAGCAAACATTTAGAATTAGCTGGAAAATATAATTTCGTCACATAATACAAGCTGCTATTGAGGTAAATGATTATACATATTTTTTTAAAGCATGTATTACAGATTCCATTTCATTTTTGCTCATTAAGTGGATTACTCAATGCACTGCTGGCCAAACCCCTTAGTACAGGGCTGTCAAATTCATGGTCCGCGGGTTAGATGTGTCACATGCTGGCCACACCCAGTTTAGCAAAGGGGGAAAAAGTCCTGATATGTCACATGACACTGCTGTGATGACACGAGTTTGACACCCCTGACTTCATGTGAGCCTAAGGCACTTTTGCTGATATAGACCTAAATACTTGTTTTTGTCTCCACAATTTAAATTTTCCACAATTCTCAAAGGTCTTGGAAACCTGTGTTAAAAAATGATGTAAATGGAGCCACCATCGTAGGAAAAAAAATAAAGTACATGGAATCCAAGTACTTGACACAAAAATTTCTCTCTCCAAACTAAAGATATAATATTTACTACCAAAACTAATAACACCTTATTATTTTTTAAAAAATCTATACATCTTAAAGCTTCTGATGATATGAATAGGAAAGTCAGCTATAAGATTTCACATTCAAATTCTAGGGATAAGCATTGAACATAAAGCTAATTAATTTATAAAGTTACACAAAGTAGATATAATATAGTTGTGAAGTCCTCAGGAAGCCTTCCTGACACATTTTCCTTTATTAAATTTATCACGTAAACATATTTGCTTTTTGTATTTTTATATACAGAGTTTTTCTTGATATTAAATAATCCTCTTAAAATCTGATGTTTAAAGTGATACATACTAACCATTCATACTTGTGGAGATATACTGCAAATTATCCAATATTTATTTTAGAATATTGTTTGGCAATGCTGTTACCTCTTGATTGTTAAAACACAATAATGTAATAGAATACTTTGATAACTGTAAAGTTGTGCAAGTCTACATATTCACTGTTTTAAACCCTTGCCCTCTGTATTTCTGTGGGTATGTATGAAATGTTAATAGCTGTGTTAAAGAAAGGATTATGATGAAAAAAGCTGGAATAAGTAGCTTTAAAGTACACGCAGACTGTTCCTCCCCAGAGAGTACCTAATATAGTATTAGAGAATTTGGTGGGAGGAAAAATAATCCATTTTCTATTTATAAAAGATTCTTTCAATAGTTCAGTAGTTTATTACATATTAGGTATTACAAGATTATTCACCAATAAAACAATATATAGCAACATGTCATTATTAAAGGCTGCCAATTATATGAGCATGACTGCTTTGTTTTTTCTATTATAATTATTTCTGCTAATGTGGATATTTGTTTCTTCTTGCATACAGAACTATTTTTGTATACTTATTATTGTTTCAGCATTCTGTATTTCATATCACTGGATTATAGGATTATGGTTACATAGGAATAAGTACCATAGAGCTGAATTCTGTTTACACTTAAAAGGACTTGGACATATATAACTATCCTAGAGTATGCATTGCTAATTCAGCTATCTAAAAATGGATTTAAGTGGAGATAGCCCTTAGAATGCACAGAATTGCAGCCCAAATCATTTACACCAATATAAATATATTCTATTTAAATAGAACACTGGTTTTAAATTGACCCTTTGTCCTTCAATTTGCTTTTTTTAAGGGGATGGTGGTGCTCTCTGGTGGTTGCTTTTATAACTATTGCTAATAAGATTAGTGGAATTAAGTATATGTGCTTGGATATCGTAAATAGAAACACTGCATTCCTACTTCTTGACCATAAGGAGCCGCAAAAGTGGATGGTAAGAACCAGGTACATGTAAGGACATCGCAAGAACCAAATAGATAAAGATAGCATCTCCCAAAGTCCATTCTAGATCAGAAACTGCACACTTAGGCTCTTTTTAAAAATAAAATCCTCTACTAGAGAGCTCATTATGTTACCATTTTCTGACTTACTTGACCATTAACTACCATGTTCAAATGAGAGAAAGGTCTCTTAGTCCTAAAAGCATTTGTAGTGGTTGTAGCCAGGGAAGAATTTTACATTCTGCAATATGTTGTTCTGCAATAATGTTATTTCCAGTAGTCTGCCATAAATTTAAAACACCCAGAGTTATTAGTCATGATGTAAATAAATAAAGTCAAAGTGTAGTAGGCTTCCATAAGACTTGTTCTTTCGACCTTACTAAATTAATGTATATTTACATAAATTTATAACATATGAAGAACGGTTACAACATAGGAAGAACGGTTACAGAAACTGGGCATGGTTAGTCTAGTGAAGAGAAGGACCAGGGGAGACATGATAGCGGTCTTCCAATATTTGAGGGACTGCCACAGAGAGGAAGGGGTCAAGCTATTTTCTAAAGTGCCTGTAGGCCAGACAAGAAATAATGGATGGAAGCTGAACAAGGAGAGATTTAACCTGGAAATAAGGAGAAACTTTCTGACAGTGAGAACAATCAACCAATGGAACAGCTTGCCCTCGGAAGTTGTGGGAGCGCCATCACTTGAGACTTTCAAGAAGAGATTGGACTGCCATTTGTCAGAAATGGGGTAGGGTCTCCCGCTTGGGCGGCGGGTTAGACTAGATGACCTATAAAGTCCCTTCCAACTCTGATTATCAGTTATCTGTTATATTTATATAATATTGTTCAAAATGGAGAATTCATCAAGATGTATCTGCTTCTTCTGAGTTCTGACAGAAATTTTATCATAACCAAAACTACTCTGTAGTGGTTGATCAATGTCCACCTAAAATATTCGTTGCTAAAAGCATAGCTCCAATGTCTGCCACATCTCCTGTTTTGTTTTTCTATTCAGCTTGGCTGATGACAAACCCCAGGAAGTCTGCAGGCTTTTGGGTACAATTAATTATTATCACAAATTAAATCCCACATTTTTAATATAGATTTGTAAAAACTACCATTCTGGAGAATTCTAGAATATATTGTTTCCTTTTAAGGTTGTGTCAATCATAACATTCTGAAGGTGCTCCCTTGCTTTCTGAATGATTTGTTTCTTTGTTACATTTCTAAACTGCCCATCTCCCTCAAAGAAGGGCTTAATTAATCTCCATGCCTCCTACTTCACCTTACTTGAAAGCTTGGACATTTGTGGACCGAAGGAAAAACAGAAAGGTCAAACGTTTTCTAGTACATTCTGTTTATAGAATGATAGGTTTTACACATGCATGCTTTTTAATTGTTTTACAGTAATTAATGATACATCCTTTGGAGTAAATTAGCCAGGCACATACACACAGTGTCATAGCACTGGTTCGGTACTTTTTTGTTAATAAAAACTAAATAATTACTTGCAGACAATTTAAGTTTAAGAATTTAAATTACTTAAATTCTTAATTCTCCTTAAAGGATTACAGGCTTTACACAAACCAAAAGCTCAGTTCATGCAGTTCACATCATATCTAGTTTGACCCTGAGCATCAATTTTGTTTTTTGACAGCTATATTTTCACAAATTGTCGGTTTAGATTTTAGACTCATAGACTCAGATTAAGCATATTCATGCTTCTGAAATGTTATATCCCAGTTGCTGTGATCTCACAACATGTTCATCCATTGTTTACTGAACTGTGGCTTACTAAATTAATCCAGTTGTCTAACTTCACACAACACACATGAACTATTCACTACCCCATCTGTCATGTGAAGCCAGGCTACTATACATAATCATAATTTTGTTTGAATGATGCTGTAGTCAACATATTCAAAACATTGTTTTTGCAAGCCTAATGTCAGTGTTCCAAACAAATTCTCCATCCCAAATTCCTCACTCAGAAACAAAGTCCATCCAAGTAAGAATTTATTAGAGAAGTCATATTGGCACATCTGGGGAAAACTCTAATCTGATTTCCCACGTTTTCCCCTGCTACACTAAAGCTCAAATCCAGTCCCTGTTGATGATCCTCAAGTCACATTCTCCAATCCACCTCCATTCTGAACTCCCGCCAAGTCCAGTCACTTCCCTCCAAACTCCAGCGACTCGGCCTTGAGCTCTGGTGAAAGAAGCTGTCCATCCCCGCTTGTGGCAGCCCTAAATCTAATTCAAAATGGATCCAGAGCTGACACCTAAGTTATTTGGGGTGACTCTGGAATTTCTCTGAATCAAAGTTCAATAGAATGATTTTGTCTGCTACAACAAAACTAACCTGGTAAGTGTTCTAATCTAGAACATGTAAGTACGGGATCAGTCAATACACTCAGTACTAACTAGACTAATTTAGTAAATGTCCCATAAGGTGCTTTTTTCCCTCTCAAAAGGCAATTGCATTCCCTTGGTTTTTTCCTTTGAAAACGTTTCATTCCTCATCCAAGAACCTTCTTCAGTTCATGAACTGAAGAAGCTTCTTGGATGATAAGCAAAACATTTTCTAAGAAAACAACCAAAAAAATCCAGTTGCCTTTTGATAAAATAAAAAAAGCATCTTTGGGACAATCATGACCTGGATGATTGCCAATCTTCATAGAAATTTAATGTGTCAATTATAAAAATAGATATAAAGCTAGCTACAACATTTTTATGCTACCCCCTTAGAAAGTATATATGTATGTTTTCACAGTATGTATTCTGTGATACTTCAAATCAAACTCATTCTACCATTATTTTCCTAACCGTTTAGAACAAATCGGACTCTTCCTTTATTGAAGAGACAGATTTGGTTTAAATTTTTTAGTAAATTGGGTTTTTCTTCCCACTGTAAACATTCTTGAATTTGAATCTGAATGTAAATGAAATGAATGTTAATGAAGCTGAAATGTCCTGGAATTGAAAACTTCATTGTTCCCTGACAATGACAGGAGACATTTAGTAACCAGGAGATAATGGTTTCCTCCATTCATCAACAATTAAACAGGTGGTTAGAAAAGGGGGGGAAAGATTGCTCTGGTTGCTAAGCAGTGATTCACCATTTGTGCTACATTCATTCATGTTTGTTGTATGTATTCAATAGATAAAGAGACACTTTGCATAGATCTATCTAATTTGGATTCTTTGTTATTTTACTATCATTCATGTCACAGAATGTAGGCCTTTACTAATGTTTTATACACAAATCTGACCTAGCAGCTGCTCCACATGGAGACATTGGTCCTTTAGAGCAGTGGTTGCCAACCTTTTAGACCTCAGGGACCACCAAACTCATAATTTTAAATCCCAGGGACCACTAACTGGTTCTGTGAGCATGGCCTAATTTGTGGGTGTGGCTTGGTGATCATGTGACTGGCTGGACATAGCTTGTATGTAAATATTATAAATATTTATATAAATATTGAATATTTTATAAAAAGGGGCAACTTTTACCCAAAATCAGGCAAAGCAGGCAGGCAGATTGAGTTGCTCACAGAATCACAGATTCGTTCAGAGATCTATCTTTCTGGCATCAGCTACCTGAGTCTGTCACATAAAATTTGCTTGCTGTGTGTCTGCACTGAATAATAGATCTTTCAGTCCTAAGGGAGGTTCGGCTGTGCTTAAAAGCAGAGCCAAAGATCTAAAGACTAGCTAGAAAGCAAGAAATCCAATCATTTCCTGCTTTCTAGCTAATCTAAATCTCCCGGCACAGCAGAACAGATGATGGTCGGAAAAAGGAAAAATAGTAATTTAGCAGGCAAGTTTTCCAGGTAAGGAGTGAGTGGGTGGGGAGGGTTCCCGCAGGCGATGTGGGCGGTGCAGTCTTGTGTTTCAATGCAGCCTGGATTAATTGCTTTGGGTGGGTGCTCTGGGGTTGAGATTTCTCTGCGGCCCACCAAAATTTTCTCACAGCCCACCAGTTGGCGACCCCTGCTTTAGAGCAGAAAACTGGGACCTTGGAAGCTACAGGCTCTCCGGCTCACTTCGAAAGTCCTTTGCAAGAGACCAAGGCAACTCTGTAGTAAAAAATGCTCTATCACTTCTTTACCGCCCTGCTCTCTGGCAGGAGAGAGATAAAAGGTGTTCAGAAAAAAAAAACCAGGAAAAAAATTATCTGAAACAGAAAAATGTCCATTCTCCTTTATTGTTGGCTTTAACTACAAACTCCATAAGCATGCAATGATGTAACTACCAACAGATTAGTCGGTTATGGCCCTCAATAAAATAAGGTTGCTAGTCTGAGCTTTAACCAAAACTCAGAGACGCCTGAAACAAATAGTAATATTCTCTCTCTGCAGAGAAGGGACTCTCTAATTGCCTCTATTGTATAAAGATTGCTTCCAGCTGCCAATATGCCCTTTGATTGCCTCACCTGAATCAGATGGAAAAGGATAATTAGCATACCGAAAGCATGTCTTTGCAAACTTCTGGAGTCTGGACTATCTCCAGGTATTTAAATCTCATGGGAGACAAATTAGCCAGCAAAATCTCACAGAATGAGCCCTGTGGGTTATATCATAATTTTCCACTAGCCTAGGGGTGCCTAGTTTTCCTTGAGTAGAGAGTCACATATGATCTTTGAGTGGCTTGCCAGGGGTTAGATTCTATGGAGAGAGAAAAAGGAAAGTGGCATGACAAGCATTTAATTTGTATCAAAACCTACAACTTGGCAAAAGAATTGGGAGTTCTCTAGAGGCCACATTTTAGAGGAATCACTAGGGTACAAAATCAAATTCCTAAATGGACATCCAAAGAACTACTATGACAGGGATAAGCAAGCTAGGATAGTGCATGTTTTGAATCATAGCTTCTCCAATCTTCTGCCATTATTCTTGTTGTTTAGCATCAATAGGAGTCAAAATGTAAAGACATTTTGAAGTTGTATAGTGAATCTGTGCTCAAGCATCTTATTTAATAAGCCATCCTTTCCCAACCTGATGCTCTCTAGAACTGTTGGCTTTATTTTTTCAAATCTTCTGTCAATAGAAGGTTGGAGCTTCTAATGAAGACAAGGAAAGAGTTCTCAGACTATTCCTAAAGTTGATTAAAGAATAATTCATAACTTTTCAAACTCGTGTGTTAGCTCTTTTTCCAAAGATTAGAAGGGAAGGGTATGATAGATCCTATATATTTAGTATTGTGTCCACTGGTACAGCAAATGTAACTTTAAATCTTGGCTTTAACGGCTTAATATTGAATTAATTTGCCTCAGTGAGATTTTCACATCATCTTACAACCTCCTGTTAGATTCCTCTGGTGCTTGCAAAAGGCGAAAGAAACACAGAGGAAGTTGTGGAGGATATGCAACCAGTGCAACAGAGCTGTTGCTTCATAAGGCATTGGGAGACGTTCAGGGACAGGGCTCTAACAGCTGATCACAACGAAAAAAACTAGATCTCAAGATTTCGTTAAAAAAAAGGTTACAGAATCCTGGAGACCTGATCGATATACATTTATCAGCAAACACCATTAAGGTAAAGACTCTTTCATCCCTCTGGTTCACTTTCTAACTTTCTCTTGTTGCACAGAAAGTGTTGCTACCTATTTTCTCAATAAGAAACAGATGCACATATATTACTTTTCTACACTGCTATTTTTGTTCCAATAGAAGAGAATATCTGCAGCTCAGGGTTGAAGTGTGATAGCCTTACTACCCTCTAAGCTTACTTGTTTGTTTACAGACATTTTATTAACCAATTGGGCAACCTTATCAGTATGAGTAAGTTAGGGTTTGCTGCCTTTTATATACAGAAGTTTAAGTACAATCAAGTAGAAAACAATACGCTAATTAAAGATCTACCAAAGAGAAAACCACACCCCTACCCCCAACTGGCAGGGCAAACTACCCTCTATATATTTAACAGAAAATGTACATGCCACATTTTAATCTAGAACTAATGCCATTCAGAGTGAAATGGATTCCAATTGTTTTATCTTCCATGTATTTTCTATACATCACAAGAGAACCACCGTGAACTACTGCTTCAGTGTTCCAGAATAGATTCAAAAGACAAGATCCTCTGCTATTATTGGCATTATATTTATTGAAATCTCATGCAAGTAATTTAAATGTTTGTGCTCAGCTAGGATCAAAATTTTGCTGGTTCCAAAATGCTGAGCATGCAGTCATCTAGTTATTACTTGGACTGACACCATCAAGAAATCTCAGAGCTGTAAGAAAGTCTGAAGAGCAAAAAACAAAGTCCTTGAAAAGCAAAGCATTTCCATATTGTGACTGAGAAAATGACAAGGATGAGTTCATGATGTCACCAGGAATAAAGATGAGTCTGAAGGGGAATGTAACCTTTTTTTATAATACTCAGGAACTTGGATTCCAAACAAGGAAAAAAACAATGCCTGATCCCTACACTTCTATTTTTTTTCTATATTGACAAGTCCAGGACAGTGTGCACATGAACACAAGCAGTGCTTTGCAGGATCAAACCTCTGGTCCACCTAATCTTTCAATCTGTTCTCACAATGGCCAACCAATGCACAAGGAAGCCCACTAGACTTTCCCGGCAGAGTTACATTGCCATCAAGGCTTAGCCACTGATCCATCCCCTATCTTCCGTGAAGTCTAACTTGCTTTACAGCATTGAACATTGAGCTCTTTTACTTCAGATCTTCTTAACTAATCTGGAGACAAATGAGTATGGAATATGTAGTACTGTTGTTTGTATTATCACATTTCTTTCCTGAATAGGACAATAACTTGCTATATTAGAATTTTTGCTAACAATAGCAGCTAATATCCTGTTGTGTGTGTGGTTTTTTTTTAAATTGCCCCATCTTTGTTTTGTTTGTTTATTGTTTCTTGCATTAGTCATTTGCTTTCTGTTCTGTCCGTTTCTGTCTCCTTTGTTTATTGTTCACAAGTATCCTTTCACATTCTTGGTGAATTTATTTAATTATATGTAAACATATTTTAATTGTATTCAGCATAAATGTATATTAAAAATATAAAAATGCTTTTATTTTCATTTATACCCAATTTGCATTTCAATATTGTTAGGATTTTGGCAAGCACACATTTAGCCTTCTCCTGTTGATTTAACATACATAATTAGCAAAGCTAACTGGTATTACAAAGGTTGCATGTAAATTTAAACTGCAATGATTTTATGAATAAGGCAATGTATTGAA